TTTATCTTAGATGCTATGTTACTAAGGAGAAGTACGAGTAGATAGATCTACATAATTTAGCCTTTAAATCGGTACTGGTAATTCATTTATCACATTTCGCGGGTTCAACTCCCGGTTCAAACAAGCGATTTTTAAATTATTGTACGCAGTTTGTATTGTTTTTAAAATAAAAACGAAATCTTCTTCCAGCAAAACTTTCTATTGACACTATTTAAGGTAGTCTTACTCCATGTGGTAAAGTTTTGGGACACCTGTATAATTTTGCTTTATGTTAGAATAAGGCAATAATTTTCGTTACTGATTTCATGTTAATTAGACTATTATTATGAAATATGTTACACGTATCTATTTGTATAAATATGATGACCATTTGTGTGATAATGATTCAATAATTATATTCTGATTTCTGAGTTCGTACTCCATCCATAGTTAACCATAGTTAATGAAGAAGCTTCAGTATAAATATTTATAAAAACCGGTACAGGTTTTTTTAAAGTTCAATGAAAGTCGGTACAGATATATTTACATTCTTGGAAAAACCCTAATATCGCGATATTATAGCAAAAAAGTCGTATATCATTCAAATTACTTACCGGCTATAAAGATATCAAAAATGCAACTTAGAATAATTGCGTTCGTGTTAGTTAAACAGTTATCAGTTGAATGTGTACATGGATTATTTATAAATCGGATGTATGCACGGACAAAAGACCAAATTTGATTAATAAACTCGACAGCAAAAGCTATTGTCGCCAGTATAAGGCTTCTTTTCATAACGGCAAGGTTGCTCTGAAAAAGAAAAAAATATTTTATTGATTTTCTCTTATTATGAATTATAACGCTTGTCAGTTTCATTCTGCAAGACCAATCTAACAATTTCAAAATCTGATTCACAATATGACTCCACATTTATTTATTAATACTAAAGGCGGATTTAAAGGAGCGTACAAAGGCGGATTTAATGCCGTAGGCATTCTCTACCAGTCAACCATAGGTTGTTGTGGATAAATAGTGGTAGGGTGCACAACTTAGGTGGAAATTACAGAAAGACGAACAAGTATAAATATGGTCATACATATATAATTACACATACATAAAAAGTGCTTACATTTAATAATAATCGATTTTCAAATTTCCCTCCGCAAGTTTTCGAGAGCCGATTAAATTTTTCTTGTTCTCATTAAAAATTGATCTGCATCGAGAACATTTTCGTGCAATGATTTTTTAAAATTTTAAATGTGGCTTAAAACCTGATGAGTCATTGGATTGATTTCGAACTGTATTATGGATGTAGGACCTTCAAAAGCAACCATCTACCGCTGGTGTAGCGAGTTCAAACGCGGTCGTCTTACTTTGGGGGATAAACAAAGGAGTGGTCGTTCTACGATGGCTGTCACCGAAGAAAGTGTGCTGGCAGTAAAAAAAATATTCAAGAAAACAGACGAATTACGTACGAAGAGATTCAGCATACTCTGCAGATTGGTTCAGGAAGTGTTCACAAGATTTTGCACGAGCACCTTTGCGAAGGAGGCTAGTGTCCCGCTGGGTGCCGCACAACCCAACTGAAGCTCAAGTCCGCGTGGATTGGTGCAGCTATGATACAAAAATTTGATGCAGGCTCGTCACGGCGCGTTTACGATATTGTGACAGGTGACGAATACGGGATTTATCAATACAATCCAGAAACAAAGCGTCAGTCGACAGTTTGGCTGTTTCATAATTAGTCCAGTCAACAAGTTCAAAAACGTGAAAAATAGAGATAAAGCTCCTAAAAATATGAGCAATAGCTCATTGGATTCGGAACGACCTCTAGAAAAATGAGTTTTGAGGATTTTACTGCACGTAAAAAATTGCAATTGTTATTAACAAAATAAGATGAAAAAAAAGAGGTATTTACGTTTTTGTTAATAACTCATAAACTATTAATATTTACGATATTTGGAAAAAAGGTCCTTAAAGAGGAGGAAATTTCCGAAAAAAAGTCCCAGCTCCCGGAACTCTACCTCTATTATTTATAATTTTAATTTAACGCTGAAAATAGGGCTCCGCGCAGCCATTACGGCATGGGCGCACTGCCGTTAAAGACAGTTTCTTACATAAAATTATTTTTTTATAGTAACAAATATGAATTTAAAAATTTAAATAAATTATGGTGTCATCCAGATACTTGAAAGAATATATTCCCGTTGGAATTTTTTTTTTAAATTAATTTTTCAAAAAGTTATGCAATTGTTAATTAACGAATTTTTTTCCTATCTCCGTTTTCATAAATGACGACATAAAAATTTAAATAATAAACCTATAAATTTTTGGCTCTGTGGAGCTCTTCTTATATATATACTTAACAAGATCCCGCGATAAAAGTTTATTAAAGTTAATTATTTTGTTTATAACAATTTTTTAAAGTAAACAAAATATGAAAAGTCTAAGAAATGTTATTAAAAAAAATTTTTAAACAAATGTTATATTATTGCTGCTTTCTTATCCAACAATGGCATTAAGTACCATCGGAAAAAAAAATTTACATCATTTGTTAAGAAATTGTTTATAAACAAATAGACAAGTTTAATATTTTAAGATTTTTTTTTACCATTATGTTGTCTTGGCAAAATAATGATTTTTAAAAAAAAAAATTTTTCTTAAATAAATTTTTTTATTGTTTATAATCGTTTTTTTTATATTTCGATTGTTTAAATAATTAGTTAAAGAATGATTTTCTCTTTAAAAATCATAATTGGCATTTCTTCATAGGTAAATAGAAAAAAAAAAAATTTTATCAATAATTTCATTGTTTGTTAACTTAACAATTTGTTATAAACAAATTCTAACTACCGTTATATATTTTTTTCTAGAGCTAAAAAAAATAACAAAAACAGCCATATATATCAAAATACTGAAAAAAAAAATTTTCTATTTTTTATAACGCTTTTAAATATTACACGATACCAAAGTTGCACCGGACACTTGATTTGTCAAGTAAAAAATTAATATAACTTATAAACTATTCGAGATACGATAATGGACATTCAGGTCGTTTTTATAAAGCATTAATTTATCTTCAAAAAAAGCTAAAAATTAAGTTTGTAACTATTGTTTATCAGCTAATACATGCATTTGTTTATAAAATTTTGAGATTTCTTTAACTTTTTCGTATCTCTTATGACTTACAACTTAATAAATAATTAAAATACAGCTATAAACCTTATAACAATTTTGTTTAGCGATACATTATCTCCCAAATTATCAATTAATCGTACCTCCATCTCTAATTGTTTAAACAATATACGTGATTTAATTAATATTTATGTAACACTTACCTTCATTTTGTAATTTTTTAATTTTCTCTACATTATTATAAGTTATTATAGCTTCTAAATGAAACTGATTTTATCATGTATTTAAATAAATAGTTTCTTCGATGTCATTAAGTATTTTTTTTCATATTTTTTGTAGTTTGATCTGCCGTATCTTCTAAATTTTTACATGTTAACCATATTTTTATATTTTCATATAGTTACAAACTTGGTTTTTAGCTTATTTTGAAGATTAATTAATGCTTTATAAAAACGACCTGAATGTCCATTATCGTATCTCGAATAGTTTATAAGTTATATTAATTTTTTACTTGACAAATCAAGTGTCCGGTGCAACTTTGGTATCGTGTAATATTTAAAAGCGTTATAAAAAATAGAAAAAATTTTTTTTTAGTATTTTGATACATATGGCTGTTTTTGTTATTTTTTTTAGCTCTAGAAAAAAAAATATAACGGTACTTAGAATTTGTTTATAACAAATTGTTAAGTTAACAAACAATGAAATTATTGATAAAATTTTTTTTTTCTATTTACCTATGAAGAAATGCCAATTATGATTTTTAAAGAGAAAATCATTCCTTAACTAATTATTTAAACAATCGAAATATAAAAAAAAACGATTATAAACAATAAAAAAAATTATTTAAGAAATTTTTTTTTTTTAAAAATAATTATTGTGCCAAGACAACATAATGGTAAAAAAAAATTTCTTAAAATATTAAACTTGTCTATTTGTTTATAAACAATTTCTTAACAAATGATGTAAAAAAAATTTTTCCAATGTTACTTAATGCCATTGTTGGATAAGAAAGCAGCAATAATATAACATTTGTTTAAAAAATTTTTTTTAATAACATTTCTTAGACTTTTCATTTTTTGTTAACTTTAAAAAAATGTTATAAACAAAATAATTAACTTTAATAAACTTTTATCACGGGATCTTGTTAAGTATATATATAAGAAGAGCTCCACAGAGCCAAAAATTTATAGGTTTATTATTTAAATTTTTATGTCGTCATTTATGAAAACGGAGATAGGAAAAAAATTCGTTAATTAACAATTGCATAACTTTTTGAAAAATTAATTTAAAAAAAAATTTCCAACGGGAATATATTCTTTCAAGTATCTGGATGACACCATAATTTATTTAAATTTTTAAATTCATATTTGTTACTATAAAAAAATAATTTTATGTAAGAAACTGTCTTTAACGGCAGTGCGCCCATGCCGTAATGGCTGCGCGGAGCCCTATTTTCAGCGTTAAATTAAAATTATAAATAATAGAGGTAGAGTTCCGGGAGCTGGGACTTTTTTTCGGAAATTTCCTCCTCTTTAAGGACCTTTTTTCCAAATATCGTAAATATTAATAGTTTATGAGTTATTAACAAAAACGTAAATACCTCTTTTTTTTCATCTTATTTTGTTAATAACAATTGCAATTTTTTACGTGCAGTAAAATCCTCAAAACTCATTTTTCTAGAGGTCGTTCCGAATCCAATGAGCTATTGCTCATATTTTTAGGAGCTTTATCTCTATTTTTCACGTTTTTGAACTTGTTGACTGGACTAAATGAACCAACGCCTACGAAAGTGAAGCGATCGAGGAGCGCAGGGAAAATTTTGATCGCTAGTTTCTTCACTTTGACGGAGTACTTATTTTGAATTTCACTTCGAGACCAAAGCAGCATCAACGCCGAATGGTATAGCACAAAATGCCTGCCAGAATTTTTTCTGCAATTCGCAACAGGCGACCTAACACCGGGCTCCACGGAGTCCTTCTAAACCACGACAACGCGCCCGCGCACACTGCGATCAAAACGAAGGATTTCTTGGACTCCACACCAGTCAGAGTCTTTGGAAGCCCTCCTTACAGTCCTGATTTGGCTTCGTGTGTCTTCTTTTTATTCCCTAAAATAAAAAATCTGCTCAAAGGGATACAGTTTTCATCGCTGGAAGAAGCGCTAGCAGCGTTTGAGAAGGCCGTGGAAGAGGTGTCTGGAAAAAAATATTTGAAAATTGGTTCAGACGCATGTAACTTTATATAGAGGCTGGTGGAGAGTTCTTTGAAAAGATTTAATATATTTTCTTTTTCATAGAAGTTAGTTTAAAAACTGAGTGTCCCACGTATAAACATATGTACATACTAAATAAATAGGTACATAATAATGACGACTAAGGTTGAAGCTAGACTGTTTGTTCCTGTAAAAAGCTTCGTAGCTTGGTTTTAAAGCTAATTTTACTGGTGGACATTCTAATATCTAGGGGGAGTTCGTTCCACAGAAGTATAGTTTTGACGACGAAAGACGAGTGAATCATATCAGAATGATAAGATGGAACAATTAGCAATCGATTAGAAGAAGATCGAAGATTTTTAGTTTGAGAGGTACACAAGTACTAAATTTGGGAAGCGAGTTAGAAAGGGGCATTTGGAGGTTCCACCAATCAGAACAGAGTGGTCAGAGCTCGCATACTTCTGCGCTGCCTAGTAGGCATCCAATTTTGAAGAGATGGTTATGCGAACACATGGTCATATTTTCTAAAATTGAAAACGAATCGAATGCAGTTATTCTGAAGTCAAACAAGTTTATTGAGTAGATCCGCATTTAGATCGAAGTAGCACACTTCACCATAATCGATTATAGGAAAAATAAAATTTTGCACAAGCATTGCCTTAATGTTGATCGGTAATTTTTTTTTCAAGCGGTAGAGAGCACGCAATGTTCCAGTTACTTTTTGACAGACACTACCTACCTGATCCTGCTATTTCAAACATATAATCCGAGATTTTTTGCAACGTTACTGAATCTATCACAACGTTACAGTATCAGAGTGCTAGAAGATAGCCCCAAGATTGCTGTTGTCAATTCTGCTCATTATTCTTGATCCACCTATTAACATAGCTTGGCATTTAGCAGCATTGACAGTGACACCAATGTGTGAGTGATAAAATCAATAAAAGTAGAAAAAAGAAGAGGAGAAAGAATACCGCCTCACCAGTTTCCAAATTAGGCCAGGATGAGAATGATTCCCAAGTGCAAATTTATAATGTGCGTTATAGTAGGAACAAAATAATCAAGAATAGTGATGGTCATGCGACGGTTAATATAATCACATCCCATTGCATTGGATTTAATTGAAAGTATTACCTTTTTGATCTCTGCTGATTTCACTGGTGAAAAATAGAAAGCGTCAACATTAGGGTGCGTTAAACCATTTATAGAAGCAACGGTGCATGCTGCAAATAAACGATCCAATTTTTGATAAGTAGCAGTATGGCGATTGAGATCGTTAAGGTTTATAGAATTAGATAGGTCTAAATGTTGCGATTTCCCAATACCTAGCGTACCGAGGAACTTCCAGATATCAGCAGAAGATGAAGAAGAAAAGTTACTGAGAATATATCGGCGTTTGGCATTGGTACGTATCATCAGATAACACCGATTTCTAACAGCCTTGAAAAGCTTCTAGTTTTTATCAGAACGATCCCTTCGGTAGTTGCGATATGTACGATCCTTACGCCTCTTCGCCATCTGAACACCTTCTATCATCCAAAGGGTTGATTGCCGCTTCAGCCTCACTTTTCTGATGGGCGCATGGACATTGTAAATGCTAAGCAGAGTATCATTAAATCAGATATTATATGATTATTAATTATATTATAAATTCAGATCGCATGGAATTGCATACAATTTAACTACTAGGGCCTGCTTCTGAACTTTGGTGAGGTTGTGCGACACCAGCGTGCAGTTTCTCGCTGGAAACTATCCTCCTTACGCAAAGGTGCTCGTGCAAAATCTTGTGAACACTTCCTGAACCAATCTGCAGAGTATGCTGAATCACTTCGTACGTAATTCGTCTGTTTTCTTGAATTATTTTTTTTACTGCCAGCACACGTTCTTAGGTGACAGCTGTCGTAGGACGACCACTACTTTGAACATCCCCCAAAGTAAGAAAACTGCGTTTGAACTCGCTACACCAGCGGTAGATGGTTGCTTTTGAAGGTCCTTCATCCATAAAAACAGTTCGAAATCGATCAAATGACTCATCAGGTTCTAAGGCACATTTAAAATCGTAAAAAATGTTCTCGATACAAATTTTAATGAGATAAGAAAAAATTAAGGTGCTCTCGAAAAATGTGGAGGGTTATTTGAAAATCGAACAGTGGTACTTTTACTTTTAAATAATCGAAGTTTTCAAAATAATTACTTATGGCCAGTGTCTTATATATAAAAACTTTTTTTTCGCAAACTTTCGGAGTGGCTTAGTTCACATTCACAGAAAATCAAATGAAAATATGCAATTCCGAACAATCAACCTTCTTATTATACAAATGTCTCTTCTTATAATTACCTTATGCACTCCAAATATCATAAAACAAGTTAAAATCACTTTACAAGATAAACATATATTCCTTGTAACTACGCACGTTATGTCCATTATTATGTAACTGTTAATATGATACCCTTTTTTTAAGTGATGGTAAATATATGGTAATGGCTGTAAAGACCATATTAACAAGGCTGCATTCAGTATCTAAAAAAACAATCATTTATTATAAACAGAAATATGAGTGGTGCAGGCATATTTTTAATACTTATATTATAATAACACAATAAAATTCACCTCTCCGAGTTAAGGATATCTATTTTTATCATCACTACACTACATAATATAAAGCAAAGTCGCTTCCCGCTGTCTGTCCCTATGTATACTAAGATCTTTAAAACTACGCAACGTATTATGATGCGTTTATTTTTTGTTTTTTTTTAATAGATAGAGTGATTCAAGAGAAAGGTATATATGTATAATACATGCATAATATAGTAGAGAAACACTTATAATTTTGAGAGGTTTTTAATGTAAGGTCGTAAATAAACACATTTTTTGCGCTTACATTACAAACGCTGGCTGAACCCTACGAGATAGATTAAAATAATGTACTACAGTATTGTAAAAAAAAGTCCTTAAAAAGTCTACAAAAAAGTCCGCGATGGTATATGTCTATCTCTTAGGGATAACCCTCAATAACCATTTTTTGTTCTATACTTTTTACAACAAATAATAGCTTATTTACGAAGCGATTTTCAGCAATGTAACATTCATCCTTAACCAATTAAGTACCTTAAATGCATTGTGCATTTAATACAGATTAATTTAACCCTGTCAAGTATGTAATTTAAATGAATATTTTCGAAGATATTACAGATTTAAAATGCAGGGACATAGCGGTTCCGACTCTACCGGGCGGGGGGCCTGGCGGCGCGTGCCTATTATAATTAGGTATAAGAAGAATGTCATTGTGTTTAATACAAGCCTGAGAACAAAAACTATAGTCTACACTTCAGCTCTACACCGAAACGAAGCGAGGGCGGGCCACTAGTTAACTTATATTATGCCATTGAGAAAGATAAGCAACTTTCGCAATTCGCATTGGTTGGGTGACTGTGCTTCGAAAGGCACGTTAAGCTATTGGTCCTGGTTGCATCTGCAGTCGTTAGCACCCACCATTCCGCACTGGACCTGCATAGTGGATCACGCACGCCTAGACTCCCTATACCAACCCATAAGAAAGGCCTGAGCCCCTGCAATGGGGACATTAATAGGCTGATGATGATGCCATCATCATCGTGCCCATCGATGTACCCACAGCTGGGGCACTGACTCTTCTTATGAACTGGCTGAGCTGAAATTCATATTTTCTTCTTATAGGTACAGTTATTGATATGTCGGAACAAAATACCAACCAACGCAATTTATACATACAAATATTATAAAAAAAATCTTACCAAAAATAAAAATGCTACTAGCATCGCTTTTTGATACGGGCTCCAACAATTACAGATTGCCATTTTAGTTCGTCTTCGTAAATGCCCTGTCAATGTAATAAAATATTTTATATAATACCTACTTCTGCTAACAAAGAAAATAATGGACCGTTATCGTGCTTTTGCAATCACAAAAAGATAATAGCAAACGTATATATAGCTATTCTGGGCGCATTTAATCAGCATCTGGGCGCTCGCGATTATGACGGCAGAAAGACGGCAGGTCTATAAAGAAAATCAAGGAATATTAACCACTCTGTTTGAATTAATTTTTCTATAGTTTTATATTGTCCATAATAAATATACATTGAAATTTTAGGTACAACCTGTTTTATACACCTAACAGTTGAACCGCTATAAATTATGCGTAAGTAATTTTCAATGTAATTCGTACGAAATGTTAGGGCTACTCTGACTACTTACATTATCGCGAGATAGTTTTCTTTTAATTTCATTGTCTAAATTACTTTATTGTCTAGATTTGTACAGAAATTTGGGATTAAGCTTATTTCACCCTCTAGTTCATTTTCTATATTGTGCTGTTGTACGCTGTTTGTTTTTTAGGGGTGAAAATATCCCTTATTGTTAAAAATTATAAAATAACATTAAACACCTAAATATGGGTAAAAATAGTTAAATAATGATTATTTTATGCTTTAGGATACAATTTCATAATGTTTCAACCTACCCTTCTTAAAAACTACTACAATAATAGGTACAACTAAATTCTTCAATCATGAATTTATTATAAAAATAATTAAAAAACTGATGCATGAAATAAAAAATATAAAATTGTTTTTTCAATTTGATTTCACAGCTACTTTTCAAGAAACCATGGACACCACACCTCAAGAAGCCGCTCAAGTTGTTGCCTTATTGCAACAAGTACTCGGTCAGCGAGTAGTCGCTGCCCAGCTTCATTTGAGTCAGTCCGCTGTATCCCGAATATACAGACGATGTCAAGAGACTGGAGTATTCACTCAGAGACCAACAAACAGCCGCCACCGTTGTACTTCTGAACGAGTAGAGATGGAAAAAACGGCTTATTTCTTAAAAGCGTTTAAACGTTGTACTTTTTAAAATAAGCGCGCTTGAAAAAAAGCTTTTTCGTTTAAACGCTTATTGGCTTAAACGTTCAAAAGCATGGGTAAAAAGCGCGACGTTGTGTTGTGTTTTTGTTTATATCGTTTAAAAAAGCGTGAAAAGTTCATTGTCGTTTTTAATGTGTTTAAGTGTGTTATTGCGTTTTATGTTCTTATTAATGAAATTTTTATTAAAAAGTTTACAAACTTAAATATTTTATATGCACATTAAATCAATACACGAAACGCATCAACACAAACAAGCATGCAAACACACCGTACAACAAACACGCGCGCTTACCCCGTCACAGTGAAAAGCGTACTGCTTTTCGACTTCGTTTAATTAAACGCTTTTAACGAAAAAAGCTCCGACCAAATTTTAAAAAAGTGCATTTTTTTACGTCGCATTCGCATCGCGGCTTACGAAAGATGGCACGCCGACGCGGCGCTGTAGTCGTGCATTCTATGGCTGTGATGCTGTGAAATATTTAGTTCCAAGGAATTCCGCGTACTAGTAGTTCGTTGGGTTACCTACAATGCAAAGAAATGGCGCTGCCTTGCAGCCTAAGAATGGCTAGAGGATTTCGACGCGGCCGTTAGGGCCGCTGTAGCATAATTGGTCAGTGCATTTGCCCGGATAGCGAAGGGTGTGAGTTCGAGTCCTGTCTGCTGCCTGGTCCGCGTGGATTTTTTTCTAGTTATATTTTCTTTAGATTTAAACATCAAGCAGTTAAATGCTTTAAAAGAAAAATTATATATATATATATATATATATATATATAATATAGTGTTATTTTTTTCTTTCTGAGCGTACTATGTTTCCATTACTAATATTATAATAAAGCAAAATCGCCGCATTATTATTTATTATACGAATAAATTAGGTAAAAAACCAATTGTTATTATCATTTCCTACTTGAGATATGGAATTAATCCCCAACTCTTCGCTCTCTTATTCAATATCTAACTTATTATTTAGATAAAAATAAAAATTAAATTATGTTTACGGATGTGATTTATGTTCATTGCTCATCCGTTTGATGACGACCTCTCGATACTTGTTATCTCAATTGACGTACAGCACAAAACAGGACTTTTAGGAGAGCGAGAGTTATAAAAAAAATATGTAGACGAAATATACCTAAAACCATAGATATACTCGATATACCATAGATATAGTCTCGCTTAAGCGAGACCAATCATTCATCTATATTCAAATTATATTTGTTGTAATTTTAATAATAGGTTAGAGAACAAAATCAATGTTGGTACCTAAGCACAGTGTTTTATAGAACCAAAAATATTTATACCTTAAGGTTTTTGCATAAATCAATTATTTAAACCCTAATAAAGGCAAGAGTTTAATTCCCAGATCACTATTTTAAGTAAAAAAAAAGATATGAAGTAGCAAAGTTTTTGAAATTTGCGCATGAAAAAATTAACAATTTAATTTCCTCAAAAGACGGTTCCATATCTGTCCATGAGATATTTGCCAATTGCTAAGGAATTATTGATGGCATAATTTTGTAATTTTATTTTATTTATAAGTGTCCTAGTTTCCAAGAAATATAGTTTTTTTAAATTTCGATTTTTAATTTTTTTTCTCCAAAATCGGCAAAAGTGGAACCTGGATTTAGTACAGAAAGGTTCTACAAGTCAAGTTCTATCACCCATAAAAAAATCAAGTTTCACTTTTGCGGTTTTAAGAAGTTATGACAGAATTTAGATAAAGGTCAACTTTCATGATCTAGGGTTGACACAAAGGTGAACTATGAGTTAAATGAAAATGGTTTTTTTTTGTTATTAATACCGTCAATCAATTGAATAAATTATATTATATTATAATTGAATAAGTGTTGTACTTATAGACGAATACAATATACTTACATATACTACCTACCTAATGTAGATGTGATAATGTAGGAATATTTTATGTTTTAATTTTGACGACCACATTTTAATTTTGCCTTACAAGCTAAATGGCAACGAAAAAATAAACTATGTTGTTTGAAAAAAAATAACACACATCCTATACTATAAACGAGCAATTATTGTATGTACCTATATAAATATATTGGTATGTAATTGGTTTCTCGGAAAAGAATCTAACGATTGTGATGAAATTTTGGATTTAGAAATTCATTCACATTTAAAATCAATCTAGGATAGTGTCATCACCTGCCGGCACTTTCTTTATGCAACACCTTTACTTTAACTTTTATACAAATAAATCATCTTCGTTTAATAATTCTAGGTTGCTTTCATTTGCGACGTTCGAAAAATCTTCATCTTCAGCATCTTCCTCTGCTTCGAATAACGGCAATCGATCTGCATCAATTGGTTGTAAGAGCTCGCAAACAGCTGAAGGCAAGGAAAATCGCTTAGAATATTTTCGACGTTGGCTGATATTTGCCATAGAAATAAATGGGTCTGATGTTTCTAGGGCACGGTGAAAGAGGTCCGTCATTGTGGTTCTCCTGTTCATTTTTCGGCAATGATGCTCTCTGTCTGAACTCTAGAATTTATTTCGGGACTCAGCTGCTTGTTCAGATAGCATACCGATGGGCAGTGCACTGGACGCAATAATTTCTTCACCGTGCATGAGGATTTTATGAACTGTTACTGTCATCGGGTGCCAACTATAAAAACGGACATATTTTTCAACTCTAGATCATGAAAGTTGACCTTTATCTAAATTCTGTCATAACTTCTTAAAACCGCAAAAGTGAAACTTGATTTTTTTATGGGTGATAGAACTTGGCTTATAGAACCTTTCTGTACTAAATCCAGGTTCCACTTTTGCCGATTTTTGGAGCAGAAAATTAAAAATCGAAATTTAAAAAAACTATATTTCTTGGAAACTAGGACACTTATAAATAAAATAAAATTACAAAATTATGCCATCAATAATTCCTTAGCAAGTGGCAAATATCTCATGGACAGATATGGAACCGTCTTTTGAGGAAATTAAATTGTTAATTTTTTCATGCGCAAATTTCAAAAACTTTGCTACTTCATATCTTTTTTTTTACTTAAAATAGTGATCTGGGAATTGAAGTCTTGCCTTTATTAGGGTTTAAATAATTGATTTATGCAAAAACCTTAAGGTATAAATATTTTTGGTTCTATAAAACACTCGGTGTCAACCCTAGCATAAAAATTTAAAAATTAATATCTTCTAAACGCCGCAAAAGTGACACGTGGCTTATTTATGTATGATAGACCACATCCGTAGGTTTATGTCTATCTAAGTTCTAGGTTCCACATTTTCATCTTTAGGGAGAAAAAACAATAAATAGGAAATACAAAAAAAAAAATGCTGCTCCCAAACCAATGAATTTTTTTAAGCTAAAGAAACGCGTTTATACGCCTCTGATTATGCCCGATTGACACATATTTATTAAAAAAATATATTGTTAATATTCACTTTATAAAAAAATATTCTAGATTTCATAGGTCAAAGGTCACGATAAGTTCATGATTTTTTTTCTCAAAAAGTATTTGAGTTAGACTTCTGTAAATTGAACTCATGCCTTTTTTAGGGTATAAATAATCTATTTATGTAAGAACCTGAACATGTAAATTTTTTTGGTTCCATAAAACACTGTGCTAGGGGACAAAATAATATTCGTCTCGGGTATACGTTAGTAAGGTGGCGATCGTATTGACATTACCCAAACCACACAATACCCAATTTAAAAGATATTTATGCCCTCAAAATTTGAGCAAAGTGGGCTTCACGCCCTATTATGTTTACAGAGTGTTTAAAAACGTTGACTTAAATCACATTTAGCTTTATTAATAGTAAATGGTTGGGCTGATAGAAACAAAATCAAGTTATGACGTTCTTTACGTTGCATTTTCAATGTGTCTAAAATGGCCGTATTGCCATGAGAATTAGAC